CTGTTGTCAGGGGGGAAAAAGATTTTTTTTTTTGGGTTTCTTTGTGTTGGTAGGGGGGCCAAAGGTGGGTTGTTTTTGTGGGGGGATAGTGGTCAATTGTTCAATGTTTTGAAGATTCTTCCTTTTATAAGGGGTCCTGTTATTAGGTGTTTAAAAGGAATTGTGGGTTTTGGCCCCATCTTTTCTCCCCCCCCCCCCCCCCCTTTTTTTTAAAGCTACATTTCACACTCCTTTTTCAGACCAGGCACAAAATTAAGACTAGAGAAACTCCAATTTTTTTATACTGCTGATCAATTTTTCACAAATGAAACCCACCCTACTGTGTATTTGTTGCAGGTCAAATTTGACTTCAGGTTAAATTTAACTTAACCTAGGTTGATATGATTCTCAATTCCTTTGTCTCCTTGCCCTAAGAGACAAAGGAAATCGAGAATCAACCTACGTTATAACAATTTCACCTGAAATCAAATTTGACCTATAACAAATACACTGTAACATATATACCCTTTGTATGTTTCCATACCCTGTTCTGGATTATGCTGTGAGAAAAGCGTTCTCTTCACGGCAACAAACACCTGAATAGCCCATAAATGATAGATCCTAGGCTCTGACCCACACCTCCAGAAAATGACCACAAACGGAAAAAACGTGGTGTAAGAGTGAAACAATATTAAAAGATTGACTTAATTCCATGTCTACAGAGATCTAAGTAATATTTGCCCAAGTACTGTTTAGATTCTGAAGTGGAATTTCTTTTGTGAACATGATGTATTAAATGTTGTCATGGAGCAAGCAAAAAGAATAAATTTTCATGCCCTTGCCTTTGTTGCGTAGAGGTTATTTTATACCTCGGCTACCAAAAAAGAGCTGTCATGTAGAGGTTCTTGTAATAGAAATCTTTCAGTATTAATACTTAAAGCTGGGACTTTTTTTATGCTAGTTAGGAGGGTAATTAAGTGGAGGTGGCCATCAGAGGTTGGACATACAACTTCACATGAATAGTAATAATAATAACTATTACTCTCCCTAAACATTGGCACGTTTAATGTGCATGAGCTATTTAGAATTCTTCAGTGTAACCGTACCAATAATGATGAATCTACCTATTTCATTCTAAATATAGACTGTTTTTTTTTTAAAAAATTGGGTATAATGATACATAAACGAGAACGCGAAACGCTCAGCTGAGTCGATCCTCATGCTATATATTGACTTTCCTCTGTCTTTCCCTGACTAGATTAGAATGAAAACTCTAAGGTTTTCTCTGTGTTTCTTAAGAAAATATGGCAAATTGAATACCAAATACAGGGTGTCCCAAAAGTTCGGTCCTCTACTTTATAAGACTGTAACGTAGTCCGATTGGACTTGGTAAGCGAATCATTTAAACAAAAGCTGTATTTCAATATAGTTTAATATTTTATACTTGTTGTGCCATCTTGTGACTTTAATATGCAATTTGTGTATTTCGCACCAAAGGTGCGCGTGCGCGAGTACATTTCCCGCCACATATTTTTCGTATTTTGCAGCCCGATTTGCTCAAACTCCTTCCATTTTTTTTTGTGAATTTCATGGAAGAAGAAACCCTCTAAACGCAAAAACGTTCGGCTACGTGAGAGCATAAGCATGTTTACTTCGATTTACCGGCTTATCAGTAGAAATAACTGCTTAAAATCCTGGAAAAATCCGAATGTTGGGGGGTGAAATGGTCATCGAAAAATGAAGGTTAAGTTTTGAAGAGAAAAAAAAGAGGAAGACTGATAGTCCTGAATAAAGCGGCTAAAATAGTTTTGCGGAAGTTTAAATACAAAAGAGAGAACACAACGAGATAGCTCACACAATAGTTAGCAAGCCAAGTCTAAGACAGTTTCATAAAAAGCGAAGGTTAGAGGCCCCAGAGATGGCAAGAACACCTCTGCTGAGTCTGCCAAACACGATCAGCTCGTCTCAAATTTTGTAAAGAGGTACAAAAGCGTTAGTCTGGATGGGGGCTGGGATGAATATCTTTTTGTTGGATAAATGCTTAAAATATTTTTTTTCGAGCTGCCTAAACTACAAAAAATGTTGTTGGGGTAGGGGGGGTCGAAGTGGAGAAGTGGCTCCTGCGTACGAGGTGATAAAAAAGCTCTTGAAAAAGATCATCTGTGGCTCTACACGCTGTATCCCACTCCATGCCGCAGCGGCTACAAAATGTGTTAAAAAAAAAAAAAAAAAAAAAAAAA